ATCGAGTGTCCACGAGAAACCGAAGGCAAAGGCGAAGGGGAAGATCACCGGTGCCTCACTTTTTCCTGAGCGGTGGTTCGTTGTACGGAGTACTGTGGGGTCTAGACATGGTATATGGAGATCCTGGGATAAGTACCATATCTACGGATAGTAACTTCCAGTCGCGAGTCTTGAGTGCCTGAGTATCGAGCATTCAGCACAGATGCGAATAGTCGTGTGCTGGTGCGGCGTGGCACCACAGCCACCACCACATGGCTTGGTCTGGCTTTGGCTCAGGTTCGGGGTGGGATAGAAGCTGACGGGGTGTTCCACTACTTCAAGGGGTAGCATGGCCGCAGCCATACCAATTATTACTACCTTGCTCCGCAGTACGTAGAGCAAGTACAACTTGTGTGCTGCAAAGGTTGCATAGTATAGCTGACTGCACTGTCTATGGCTCTGCGTGTGTATGAGTACGGGAGATATTTGGAATGATTTGTGTGCTGCATACGGCCTTCATATAGTATGTAAGGGAATATGACTTGCAGCATGTATTGCGGTTGATGGTCTTGTCCGTTCTCCCTTGCGTCAGGTTAATTAGCTTGATCTGATTTCATCTAAACATGCATAGACTCGGAAGGGTAGTGAACGCGGCTGCTCTATGTACTCTGCCGGAAATGTAGATATCATGTTCGCATACTATGATATGTGGTTGATGCTCAACCTGCATCTGGACTCTTGTTAAGTTGTTGGAAGCAAGTCGATGGGTCAGTCAAAGACGGTCATTGTTTCCGCAAAAGGTAGTGAAACATCGTCCACACGCCCTGAAACACCTCGAGGCGTTCCTGCGCGTCGAACAAGTCGTACCATTTCGTTCGCCGAAGCTTGAGAACCTGCCAGGGCTGATCAGGCGTGTCGCTCTCCGGCGGGAAGTCACTCTCGCCTGTTGTGAGTACGTCCAGATACCGACGGTGGATTCGAAGGTGAAGAATGGCGACGTGGTGATTGATGGAGGAGATCATGTAGATCTAGCATCGGATTAGCATGAGTTCGCAACTACATTGGTGATTCCACATACATCGTCGAATGGACTGTCCTTGTCTTTTCCAATCTGAATGTACCTCATCCGTTTGTCCCAAAGACTAGGCCCTGGCTGCACAATCTTCCACCTCTCGGCATTGCTAAGCTTCCGCCCGGAGCCCGCGCGACGGGTTGCGACAAATGGATGCTCGTATTTGGAGCGCTTGCGGTTATTGCCATCCTCCGTCGCAGGCTGGTCCTCGCCATTGCTGCTGTCCTCCGGGTGCTGGGTCGCTCCGCCCCATCGGGGTTTGGTCGCCCACCACTTGCCCTCGCCGGGCCTCACTTCCGTCGCCCCTTGCCTCCCGCGTTCCTGCGCGGCGAGCAGCATGGCACCGAGCTCCCGAAACAGGTCGCTTACCTCCCCAGCGCCGGACCCTGGTGCGTCTTCAGGTCCTCGGAACGAGGTCTCCGGCCGGCATTGGGCAACAAAGAGAGGGCCTTCCATGACACCGCTGCGGGCCAATTGTCGGTCTTTGGGTGATCGGGCAGCCTGGAAGGACTGTCGGATGGGGAAGAGAAGTTTCTTGATGGCGAGTCGCGGTGGGAGCATCGGGATATTTACTTGGCAGCCAAATGGCCAGGCGGCCATCTCAGCCAGCGCTCGCACCGTCTCCTCCCGAATATCTTCCGGCATTTCCTGTCCGGTACCCATGCGGCGGCCAGTATACCTTTGAACAATCTCTTGCTGCTCCTCTTCCTGGTCTGAAGAGGTTCCGTTGACGGTCTGTGTTGTTGGTGGGTTGTCGACGTCCATAGGCGTGCTTGTCGAGTCCTGTATCTCCGATGTCTGCGGTTCGCCATCTGTCTCCATCTTGTCTTCGTCGGATGCTCGTTCAGGGGTGGCAGGGCGCTCAAAGTAATTGTCCAGACTGGAATCCCACCACTGGGCCATTCGCTCCAGCCCCGTCCAGAACTTTCTTGCATGAGCCACTCGAACCCGCTGGCGGCCCTCCTTGGGCGGTAGTCGTGCAACTTCTCGGAAAGCATCATCATTATCCAAGAGCAGTTCCTTCTTCAGAATCTCGAATCGGTCCGTCGCGGGGTATGGGTTACCATTGTCCATCAAAATCGGCTCGCCGTCTTCAGTCTCATTACAGTTACGAGCCTCCCAAGGGAGCGGAGGAAAGAGTTTTGAGCCCTGGGGGACAATGCGCTCGGCAGTAATGTCTGTTTCCAGTCTGAGATTGAAAGCTCTCAGCTTCTCTGTCGAGATGTCCTGCGGCCGGCGGATCGAGGCTAGAAGGTTGGATATCTCCCTCAGAGACGTTTCCGATGCGTCGTCCGGGACATCTAACAGGTCATAGACTGGAAAGTCGATGTTTGTTGGAGGAGGTGGGGGTCGTCTTTCTTGTTCGGGCGGCGAGCCCATCGAGGGCAACCCTATGCGGCATTAGCATTATGGTCTGTACCAATATTGATTTGTCAGGAGAATCCAGGCATTCAAGCAATGCCGCAGCGAACAGCAGGGAAGCTCAGGATGCAGTCATTGCTTGACACGCTGGCATAGCACCCATTGGGTTTTGAGCATTGATGGCACCGTTGTCATGGGGCATTCATCGATGAAGCTTTTGTATCCTAAGGTATGCTTGTATATACCACAGATTTCTCTGGGACAAGTCGGAGGGGAAGTCTTACCCAACCCACTGGCCCAACCGAACATCATACTGGTCAGGCTTGCGCTTAAGTATCGCCTGTCAAGGGTAAGTGCAAGTATTCCAGCTCGAAAAAGCTAAGATAATGTCCAATGTATGAAGACAGAAGAAAATGACGAAAGTGAAGAATCAATCACATGCTCCTCTGTATATGGAATTGCAGGATATCGAACGGAAATGCGGCTGCTTCAAATGACCAAGTAGAATTACCATGACCAAAAGCAATGATGGAATTCTTTCGATGACAGTCGCTTCATTGACTGAGGTTGTTGATGTTGACGAGGATGCACCAACACAACGATGAGGGGAATTGCAATAATTATTGTTGTCGAAGATGAATTGTTGTTGTGGAGAGAAAGGAATTATGTCCAACTGGGCCAAGGATGAAAAGGTACGACAACAAGCCACCCGTCAGAACTCAAGAGGGGAAAGCGATAATCCTGGGTCCTTGGTGGGCCAAATTAGCATCAGCATTAGTTCATCCTGGTTCAACCGTCATTATCACTATCACCATTCTCAAGATCTCATCAGAAGGGAAAGTGAGTGAGCCATCAATGTGACCAGTAGAGAGTAGGTAGTATACTTCCTCTGGGTAAGGTACTTGGTAGAGGTACCAGGAGTACTCCGTACTTTGGAGCCATCTCATCTCTCTACTCACAGTTACTCGGGCCAGCAGAGCAAAGGAAATATTAGTACTCTAGTAGTATCTATGTAATCATATGCGATCCCACATAAGCAGCCATTCATAAACTCTATATATTGACCGCCTCTCCACCTCACGTTGCATTCTCTCTCTCTATATGGCTTCGACTTGGAGGGATATGTATGATTACCCCACATTGAATGGCAGGGGCACACAGTGTTATGACTTGAAATGATATTTTCGACATATACAAATTATTTATATAGAGCATCTTCTCACGAGAGCAACACAGTTTAGGTTATTTCACCCACCGGGCCACCACTCAGGGTAGGTTCGTGTCAAAGGTTGAACGAATATGGGTCATACAAAGTACAAGCCATCGCATCAAGGCTGCCTGAGGCAGTTATATAGGACAATAGTCGGGCCGCTGCTGGAATCACATGATGCACTACCAGAAACTAATCCACATACAGACTAGTGTATGAATGATGTTGATGGCCCAATCAGGAAATGCATCATCATCCTCTCTGTGTAAAGTTCACCCGGCTTCAACAACTGAAACCTCCATCGCTTGATGGATCGACAGCAGGCATTCATGCTCATCACATTCACGTTCACGTTCAACAAGACCATGGGATCTGGTCTAGTCCCTCATCATTCAGGAGTCAGGACTCCAACATGCTACGAAACCACTTGCCATCTGCAGCAGCTGCTCTCCCTTGAATCATCGTTAAATGAAGATTCGAATCTCCAGCTACTGAGCGTCGTGTGAGGGGCTGGGGAGGGGCCTCTCGCTTCCACCCCATGCGACAGACTAACGCCCAGCCAATTTATCGTCACATTGATCACTGCATAGTTCCTCATAGGATTGGATGGGCTTGATGGGCTTTGTCTCACTCAGTTTCTTCCGGATGAAATTCCTCGAGTCAAGGACCTCTTATCCCCTGCTTAGGTCCTTCTTTGATTGAACTCTCTCCCTCTTTGGTGCTACGAACTACTAATAACTAATAAGCCCTAGTTCTCGGTTCCTCTTGCCTCTATCCTCGTCTCTGTTCGTTTCTCCGCAATCTGCTGTTGTATATCCCCATAAGCGCCCGGCCGATCCCAAACACACGCGGTTGAGCTGAGAAAGAACCCCCGTTATCCCGCCACGTTTTTGATGTTGACTGTATTGCTCCATTCTTTCGCCTGTCCATAATATCAGTCTACTCAGAATCAATCTATATACTACGAAGTGGGCTAGAATGCTACGCTGAACTTTCGTGTACCACCTGTGCTTCACCGTTGAATCGTGAAACAGCAGGGCTCAACGCGAATGCAACCCCTCTGAACCCCAACTGCTATGGCCAATGCGTTCGTCTCCTGGCACGGAGCATAGTGAAACTTCAATCATGAAGATATAGCACGTTTACGTTCCCTATACATTCCTTCCCTCGCTCCGGGCTCGATTCCGACGGCCACAGCACTGTTCTTCCAATTTGTTGACCTCTGGTCGCTGGGGCATTCTACGCGCCGTGCTTTATCAGACGGGCCTGCATTCATCATATCAATACTATCGATCCATGCATGCTCGAATTACCGCTCTTGGCCTTCAATTCTAGCAGAGCGACCGTCGCATCCGTCCAGCCTGTGGGCTTGGCGCAATGTCGATGCCCAGTCCTTCTATCCTCTTATATCAGGGTTTGAGATGTACCAAAGTACCTAGAAGTTCAATTGCGGCAGCATCATCGCCCGCCGTCGCGGCAGAACCTACACCATTCCTGTCAGTCTCAGTACAAGTCACAGAACCAGTGACGACGGCACCACCATCCAGTACGGAAACCGCTGGTGCAGTGTCGCTATCGTCCCTTCTCGTCGTCGCTCCTTCAGATGCCCAACCAGCCACCTTCCCAACCACTTCCTCTCTCTCGGAATCTCCACCAGATCCCGAGAGCAACACGGACATACACAGATCCATTCCATCTCTTATCTCTCATAATCAGACTTCTGGTTTCTCGACTGATCCGTCGAGCTCCGAAGCCCTGACGACTTCTACGGCAGAGACGAGTTTTATGGTCGAGACACCCACAACAAAAACAATCACCGCAGCATTTCCTTCCGCGACGAACCCTTTGCAGGATTTTCCAGGTCGCGGATCTGACGACGTGGGCAACCGTCATACGCTTCGTACGATTTTGGGCAGCGTCTTCGGTGCCGTGGGCTTTATCGCCCTCATACTCCTCATATGCTTTCTGATTTGTCGTTATAGACGGCGAAAGCCGCGCGACAGTCGAAGTTTCGGCGGGAGCGAGAAGCTGCTGCGCAATGGTCGGCACTCCGCAGACTCCTGGGCAAGCTCCCAGCATGCCTTTTTATCCAGGGCTTCGTCACCTTCGGACGCTTCTTCTGCTCCGGACCATCATGTACCGGGACCGAACATGGGTTCCACCTATGCTCATGCCAGAAAGGGGTCATCTCATCTGTCGGAGCCCATTTCAAAACCATCAGACGTATCTCCTGACTTGCCACCACGCATACGCGACGCTATTGGTGGAACACAAGTGCACTCGATACCAAGCGACCAACCTCTTTGTCCCGAGGCTTCAACCCTCGCAGCGCTGCATCCGTCAACGTACGACAAACCAATCTCATTCGGCTTCCAAATAAACCAGGACCAGCAGTCTATTTACAGTAGTGAGCGCAGCCTAGGAAGTACCATTATCCTCCCAGGACGAAGTAGCTTTGGCAGCAGCGTACAAAGAGCGAGCTATCCGATATCCATCTCAGATCTCGGGCCACCTGGACCCAATGAATCCGTGACAAGAGTCAGTACCCGAAGCGACCCGTTTGACCTGGAAGTCCCTCCGAACGCGATGCACGGGCGCAGCTCGGGCGCACTTCCCAGGGGCTGATTGGCGCAAGCACTCAAGTGCTCCCCGGTCAATGAGATACGTGACATGAGACACGAATGTTATCTACAGGACGAGCTGGGCTGGAGGGTTTCCTTGTATTTGTACATCATCTTTCATTCTGGTAGGTATCATTTCAGGGGTGTGTTATGATGATGTAAATGTACGTCGAGTAGAATCAAAATTTAATTTCGTTTATTATGAATCGCAGCAATTGCAGTCGCTCTGTATCAGTCTCTGTCAAACAATTACCAGATATCTCTGCTCCCTACTTCTTGTAGGCATGTGGTTCGGGAGGACCGTGACTCCTGGCTCCCATCTTTAGTCCGCCTCGCAGAAATATATATCCACTGCAACTTCATGGTAACCCAGCTTAATTTTCCAACACTGCGAATAACCTTCACTGTACAAATTGAACATACTCCTTCCATATCATACAATACAACAATCGTGCAAACATGAAACCAACACGCCACCAATTCGCACTCGGTGCAGAAAGGTGAGGATTTCATACGGCTATGCAGGAACAACGGAGACCCGATTACCCAGACGGTTAGGGAAAAGAACCTGGGTGGTGGAAATACATGGTATACTACAGACGGAATAACTCCAACCTCATCTCAGACTACCCCAAGAGTATTAGACCGAACCGGGAATTTGATATTCAGGTAGCGTTACGACATTAGATAAACAACTTTGATCGGGCCAAGGTTGAACCGAGGGGCAGGGGGAGGAGAGAGGGAATCAGGACATTCGGACAATCCTCTGGTGAGCTTGAAGGAGGGGAGCAGTTGAATGCGATATGGATGGTAGAGAGAGAGAGAGAGAGAGAAAAGAGGACTCCGTAGAGCGGTGGTAAAAAAAGAGAAGAAATTCAAAGATTCATATCACACAAAAGCGCCATGCCATTTGTTTTCCTTTAAATGAAGAAAAAGAAAGCTTGTTTTCCTTTTTTTGGTTTCTCTCTCTCATTCTTTGCTCTTTTTCCTTGGGAGAGAAAAAAGAGGAATAGCATTTTACTGCTTCCCGATCCCAGGTATCAAATATCTTCCAGGTTTCCCCTGATCATTGTCCCGGACGAGAATCAAACCACCGAGCCAGACCTGAGAGACATAAAACAAACATGGCCGACCTGATTCCCGTTGGCTATTGGATTCCCCCCGTTCAACCTCCGCACCGCCAAAAAAAAGTCAGATGGCTTTTTTTGTTTACTCCTGCTGCTCCTCGCCGGCCAGAGCGTTACGCTTGGCCTCGATACGCTCCTGCCGTCTCTCACGGAGGGCCTTGTTCTTAGCACGCTTGGCGTCCATCTCTTCCTTGAGCATGCGCTCACGCGCTCTCTCAGCCTTGGCCTTCTGAATCTGTAAGGGTCGAAAAGCAGTATGTCAGCTTCTACTCTCTATTCGCCTCGTAGCCGCCATCATTGCATCTCATTGAAGAAACAACCACATGAATCGAGAGGGAGACTTACGTGCTCAATGAGAGCGCGCTTGTGCTTGAAAGTGTTACCCTTGCTCAGGTGGTAGAGCTCGTGGTAAAGGTGCTTGTCGATCTTGCCGGCGGCACGGTAGCGGACGAGGAGGCGACGGAGAACACGCATGCGGCGCATCCAGAGGAGCTGGCTGTAGTACGCAGACATCCATCAGCAAAGACTCTTTGATTCATGCTCTATCGCCCATATGACTGGCAGGTCGTGTGGCAGCCCATCGGAAATCCTCCTCAACCGTAGACAGAGTGTGCATACCTGGGCATACGAGCGTCCTTGGTACCCTTACGCTTACCCAGACCGCGGTGTCTGCCGATTCTGCGGGCGGCGTTGAGCTCACGGGCACGGGCGCGGGAGTGCATGGTGACGGGCTTGCGAATGATGAGGCCATCGCTGACGAGCTTGCGGATGGTCTGGCGGGAGTTGGCGTTGGAGATCTCATTCATCTCATTGGGATCGAGCCAAATCTTGCGCTTGCCGCAGCCCACCACGGAGGCGGCGAGGCGCTTCTGGGTGCGAAGGTTGACCCTGTACAGCGAGAAACCACATGGTCAGCCTTTCTGAGGTTCAGAATCGGTCGAGGAGAGTCCCCAGCAGAAAGAGAAATTTCCCTAAAATGGGCCATTTCCAAGCGCTGATCGTGGGAAAAAATTCCATCAAGTGACAGTATTTCCCCATGAAAGGACAATATCAGATTCTGAAGATGGAACTCACATCTTGATGTCGGCGTATCGACGGTCGTTGGCGGATGATGTTCGTTGCACTCGTCGACGGGCAGAATTCCCAGGTGAGGAGTTTGAGATACGGCGGTTGATTAGCTAAGCGACTGTGCTGCTAAGCGAGAGGGTCCACCTTAGGGTTTGTGCCCCGGACGCTTGTCCCGACCGGGGAAGCGGATTGAGCCTCAGCGTCAACGCAGCCTATGATATCTGACTGGAAAGATATTTGGAACATGCTATTTCTGGGTTACATTGAAAAGACCTGAAAGGCTCATTCGGATTGATGTCTTTCCCTCAATTCTCCTTGCTATTCTCCTGAATTCGCAGGTCACGTACACGGTACGGGTCTCCGAGACCGACCACGTGACATTCCTCGGCTTGCTGGAAGAGCGAGAACTTATATAGGCAGGGCGAGGGTTCAACGCAAAGAAAATCATCGTTCATATCATATGTTACTTTTGTAATATAGATTGCACTACACTATACACTCAAACGCGGAGGGTATAGATTTCGCTCATGCCAACGCTGGTAGAATGTAAACCGCGCCCAATCACTCATCGGCAAATGAGCCTTCCCCGAGATCGACCTTTCCAACGCTCCACAGTTCCTTCTCGTCCTCAACTTCGTCATTGGACAGGCCCAGTCCTCCTTGTCCACCTTCAGCCTCCTTGCGTTCTCTAGCCTGGCTGGCGAGACGTAGCGCAACACGCTTGAAGTAGTCTGACATGCTCCGCTTTGGTCCAGGGGGAAGTTCCGCCCCGGGTCCAGCCATATACTTGTCGAAGACGGCACTTTCAGATTCCTCAACCGAGAAGAGTGACAGGAACGCCGCTTCAGCAGCGAGCTTGACGGGGATGATCACATCACGAACACAGCCGAAAATCGGTGGTGCAAGCAGAGCCAGATGAGGCCGGGTCAGTTCTGGGTGAAGTCGGCTCACCGTTCGCAAGACCACCAAAGTGAGTCGGCGAACATCAGGAGGCACGCCCGCCTGTATGCAGGGCGCTAGTGCTTCGAAGATGGCCTTGTTTGTCTCGAAATTGCGGCTCTCATCCTCGATCAACAGGAACTTTCCGGCAGCGAGGACGCTGTTCTCGGCAATGAAAGGCTGTCACAGAATCAGAACCACCCGGGGCTGAAAGACCAGGGAGTGACTTACATCCTTGTTCGAGACGCCCTGACAAATTATCGATTGGGTCTCGGCAGCGTAATTCTCAGTCAGAGACGACGGCGAGTCAACCAGCAAGGCGTTCAGGCCCAGAATAGATGCGTGTGTCATATGGCTTGTGAGCACACGGTTCCTTGGTTTACCATGTCAGCACTGCTCCTAAAATCGAAGGCCACAGAAGGATAGACGTACTTGATCAGTGGGCTGGCGATAGCCGGGGGAAGAACCTTCACCAGCGCACCAAGCAATTTGGCATTCGTAATAGCAACTCCATCTACTGAATAGTTAGACCTGCACGGTGATCTTGTCAGACTCGAGTATCAACCTACCAGTCGAATCGCTGGCATCATCGTCAATGAGTGTAAGGATAGCATTCTTCGAAGCCTCGCTCATATTTGCGCCAGCTTTGCCGACGACTTCTTGGAGTGCCTTCATCATCGCATTCTTGACGCCGATATCATCTGTCTTTGTACCGGTAATCAATTCTGGTCGAAAATTAGTAATCCGGCTGCTATTAAATTATCGCATAAACTAATTGACCTACCTGCAATGAGAGGATCCACCCTAGGGGTCAAGGTGATCAAGATTCCAAGACCCTTGGCAGCCCTGTTACGCAGTGTCTCGCTGGTGGAATCGGCTAAACCTCGCGCAAACGTACGTTGCAGTTGTGGCAGGAATGGCTTGACTGCCATCGGGATCTTCTCAAGAAGCTTGTTAAGTGTGAAGAAGATGGCACCTAGTCCTGGTCAGTCCCATCCCATGAATGATCAAGAAATTCAACCCTATATGAGCCTACATTTAATCTCCACTGAACGTTCAGAAACCACTCTGATCAAAGGACCAGTAATTTGAGTAACGAAAAGCTTCAGCGAGTTTGCATTGGTACGGTCGATGATATCGCCAATGGCCAGTGCCGCCTGCGTACGCTGTTCCACATTGCCGTTGAGGAGACCCTGCAAGAAGATTGGCAGAATGGCAGTGATACCCTTCGGCAAGCTGAAACCTGGCAGATCGGCTCCAGGCACACCCACTTGCCGCAGGACCTGGCGTGTTGGAATGGTGAGGACTTCCATTTCCTCTTTACGCATGTGAGATGTGAGCCCACTGAGTGCTGTCCAAGCTGCCTTGACAACCTCCTTATCGCTGTCGTCGAAGGAAATGAGCAGGACACGAATCAGATCCTGGTAGTACCTGGAGTAGTCGATCTCGGCTTCCGAGAAGAACTTGCTTAGATGGAGCGCAGCGCTGGCGCGGCGTCTGTGGTCATCGTGTTTCAGAAGACTCATCATGACGTTCATCACGACGTTCAGACCATCGAATTCATCCACAGACACCAAGACGGTATCGAACGCGCTGCTCAATTCTTTCCGATGATCCTCGTCCGAAGTTGACAGGATGTTGTCCATCAAGGAGTTGAGAATCGTGGGCAATCTGCGCGTCATGGCCGAACCTGCCACCTCAGCCAAAGAAGCGATGGCTCTAGCATTGAAGGCAGAGATAGGTGAAGTGATAAGTGTCGGGATCAGGTTGGGTAGAATGATGTTAGCCCTTGTTTGCTCGGTAAGGAGCGTCAGTAGTGCCGACAGCGCTTGCTCAGCATCCTCGTTGTTTCTCAGGAGCATCAGGAGAT